CCTCCTTTGTTTATTTTATCTTATTTAGTTTATTGTCATTACACTCATGCAAGGAAATTAAATACCATCTTCAGTGTACATTATGACTGTGAAACTAAACACAAACACACATCCTTCACATTCTATCCAATTGAATTGAAAACCCCCGATACTGCATTAATATTGCACTATACAGTAGAATTCAACAGAGCTATTGCCCTGGGATAGAAGCTGATTTCCAGCCTTTTTTAAAAAAAAATAATATATTTATTCAACGTTTGTAAAATTAAAAACATGTATATACATTTTACAGCATTGTTTGAGCAATACACTTGTACTTTCCTTCCGATAGCGTGTTATACATTGTCGTAATAACTCCTTCGTCCTTTTAAACTCTACATATGCATACATATAGTTTATTTACATTTATTTACACGTCACCCTTATTTTCAAAATGTTACTGGGTCATCAAATATCACCTTTTCTTTAGCCAGTCGTACCAGGTATCCCATGTTTTGTAATATTCACTGTCTTGATTATCTTTTAGCAGTTTAGTTAGTCTATCCATCTCGGCACATTCATCTATCTTAATGATTATCATGTTTTTTGAAGGGGTCGTAGCCAATTTCCAATTTTGAGCAAAACTTATTCTAGCTGCTGTTATAATATGCAGAATCAAGTATTGGTGCTTCTTTTTCATATTTGGTTCTAACCTGGAAATCTGATTTCCAGCCTATTTGTCCTTGTTTTTATTATCCTGTCCCGTCTGCCAGATGGTCATAGTTCAAAAAAAGGGGGTTCCCAGGATGAGATGGATCTTTGAGGATGTTTTGAACTTTCTTAAGGCAGCGGGAGCTACAAAGCTCTTCCAAAGGGGGTTAGGGTTAGGGTTAGGGTTGCAAATGTTGGAAAGGAAGTCACGATTGCCCTTAAGAGGTCTCTTTCCTCCAGAAACTCCAAACTGAAGCCCATAAAGGGGTGGGGGATGAGAAAATGCAGGACCCAGGAAGCTGCCAGGAGCATCACATACTAAAATGCCAAGAAGTGCACCTGTCCCAGAGCAGCCTATGTTGCCTTTCCACATCTGTTTCCAGAAGATCCAACATTGGCACTAACGAAAGTTTGAGGAAAGCTTGTCTTGGATTCATTGCAACTCAAACCCCAACAATTTAAAATAACTTTCAACAAGTTATTTGCTTATACTCTTAATTTTTTGTTCACCCTGGCAGGAAAAACATGAAAAAACGTTATAATGAACTGTATGACCTCAACAAGGATTTATTGTCTCAGTACAAGATTCGCTGCACCAATCACACGGAGCTTTTAAATAATCTCAAAGCAATAAATCAGGCCATCCAACGAGCAGGAAATCTCCGAGGTAAGGACCCCAAGGATTATTTCTCTTATATGTCATGTCACTTTGGAGCTTGGAAAGAAAAGCATATGGCTAAGTACAACTTGGAAAGACAACGGGAGTGAATTTTGAGCGGAGAGGCTCAATTCTTGAGCTTCTACGAGCGTTCAGCTGAATGTAGGGAAATATTCAAATTAGATTTCTTAAAAAAATAGTCTTGCTGACATTTATATGCATTCGGCTGGAGGACTCAAGGGGAGCCAGGCCTCCATTTGAACCTGAGGAAAGCTTTCCTTGTGATCCGGTCCCCAAATAAAGCTGTGTAGTTGTTTGAAGAGCTGAACTTACTTGCTTATGTTTAAACGTAAGAGGAGGTACCAATGAAAGAGAACATTGGTAGCTCACTGTGGAATCCTTGGTGCTCTCTGAGCTTGGCTGAACTCCTGTAGACATTTCATGATCTAGTTGGGTAACCTCTTCAGTGCCCCATCAGGGCATCGATGATGTGGCCCAGTTCGGTCATAAAACATTATCAAGCAAACCAGCAAGGTCGGAAAGTATCAAGGACTCTACAGATTACTGTATTCCAGTAGAAGAGAACCTGTAGTTCAAGGTTGAAGTGTGGGGTCCTTGGTGCTCTCTGAGTTTGGTTGTTCCCTTGCAGACATTTCATTACCCAACTAGGTAACATCATCAGTGATAGAAGGGAGTGGAGGAGGAGGAGGACAATGACTATGGGAGCCTTGGTGCTCTTTGAGCTTGGTGGTTTTCTTGCAGACATTTCATTACCCAACTAGGTAACATCATCAGTGCTAGAAGGGAGCGGAGGAGGAGGAGGACAATGACTATGGGAGCCTTGGTGCTCTTTGAGCTTGGTTTTCTTGCAGACATTTCATTACCCAACTAGGTAACATCATCAGTGTTAGAAGAGAGGGGTGATTGCAGAGGGGAGGAGGAGGACTTGGGGTCCTTCGTGCTCTCTTGAGCTTGGTTGTTTTCTTCCAGACGTTTCATTACCGAGCTAGGAAACATCATCAGTGTGCTGCAAGAAAACAACCAAGATCAGAAAACACCAAAGATCTCACGGGAGGAAGGGGCTTCCTGGGTTATTGAAAGATAACAGGGGGAATGCAGTTCAGATTGTTTATAACCGAAGAGGGGGTGGAAAGGGGTCAATCCGAAAGCCATCGATAAAACCCTTGGTTTGTTTTTGGAAAGAGTTACATGAACGCGCATCCGGTAATATTCCAAAAAGTAATGTTTTGGAAGGCATGAGCTTTTCTCCCAAGGCACAACCCCCTAGGAAAAACCCAAACTGTCCCTGGGCTTTTCTGGAAGTGACACACTGGACAAGAGGCACTTTGGGGATTATGTTGTCAAGAAAGGCCTTAATTGGCATCCGTATTACATGCAATCTATGCTCTTGGTTTTGTCAACCGTAGCAACTTTAAGATGCGTGGGCTTCAACTCTCAGAATCCCCCAGCTGGCTGGGGGATTCTGAGAGTTAAAGCCCACGTATCTTGCATCTTAAAAGTCCCCACGGTTGAGAAACACACCAAGGCCTTTGACCATACTAGCAAGGCAGGGTTAAGGAATTCTGGGAGTTGACATCCACACCTTTTAAAAGCGGACAAACCCTGATCCAGATTACTTTGGTCCCGATTTGCAGCTCGGCAGAACTCAAGTCTTTCTTCTCTGGCAGGAAAAAACAAAAAACAAAACAGGGCTCCCAAAGTGGCAAATGGCTTGATCCACCCTTTCTCCAAAATTATTGCAATGGGAGGTTTCTTTATCCTGAAGAAACTTGTTTGCTTTTGATGTTGCCTCACCAGAACGTTAACCAAATGCCCACCCATTTGGAGAAGGTGCTGTTCCCCTCCCTCCTTTAATCCCACCTGGAAAAGGCCGGCTGGCCTTTTCACTTCCTCAAGGCTTCTCCTTCTATATATAAAAGCGAAATACCCCTCATGCATCATCACAAAATATTCAGAACCGTAAAGCCTACAAACGCGAAATTGGGCACGTATGTTCCTCTTGGCTTCTAGGGGCTCACTAAGAAAGGATTTTTTGAAATGACCATCAGAGCATTAGTATTTCCTATATTATCATTAACATGCTCTGATGCTAAGGAGTTCCACTCCTCCTCCCCACCTGAAAAGAAATCTCTTCCAAATGCAAAACACAAGCAGAAGAGAGGAGTTTTCAGTTTTAGTTTCCCAGCAGCAACCAGCTTTAGTACAGAAAAGGTTGAGCTAAGCCACGCCCAGGCTCCTTGTTGTCTCCTTTTTGCTCACACAGCAAATACTGTTTCACTTTCCAAACAGCCCTCAACTCCCTCACACAACTGACAGGACGCTAGCCGGATGAATACCAATGGATAGTGGTAGGCAGAGGCAGAATCCCCCCCCCCCCCCGTTATTTTCCTCCCCCAAAACTAAGCTCTCCACATAGTTTCGTAGCGAAGCAGGAGTACTGACCTAGTTTTGTATAAATTCCAGGTCCCCAATTTGTTTTTGTTTTTTCTCGCCGTTTCCAGAGAGGCCTCGAGTCTCCTCTTAAGACTGCTGGGCTCGGAGATGCTGGCACATGACTGCTAGCGTGCCTTTCTCACGGATTTAAAAAAAACGGGCTGCGGAGGGCCCATCCACCCCCCCGAGGGAATTCAAAATAATGTAAACAGCGAGCCGCAAGAATAGCTGTGTCCTGCACAGGCTGTCCCCTTCTCAGCCCTCAGCTGCTTTGGGTTGGGAGGGAGAGAACGGTTTCCCCCTTCTGAACTGCCACAGAATTCATCTGCCTTCTTGGAAAAGAACCGGGGACGCTAACTCTTTCCCCTTTTCCTTTTTCTCCAGTTGGTAAACACAAAATGCAAGTGATTGCTGCCTGCCGGGACGCTATTAAGAACAACAGCGTTAGTATGCTCATCAAAATCATGCGCCTGGGGACATCGTGCTCTTGATCGGAGTGAAGATTGGAGGCCAAAACTAGCCAAGGGAGCGGAGCAGGAAGATCTAGAGGCAGATAAGACAGTAGAGGAGGCTGCCCGATCAGTGCCCAGTGAAGTGCAGTACGAAAACTTCACTAGGCCTGGACGCTCGACCGCCTGTGGTAGGGGAGTGAAGGGTAGGATGTTGACACTTTATAAATATCATGCTAGTGGAGAGAGGGCCAAGCTTTTTATGGACATTACAGACCAAATCTGGGAATTTCAGAAGCCAAAACCGCCCTGGAGGCTGTTGATTTAAAATAGCAACGTTTCATCCTTCAATAAAACTGACAGGCCTCAGTCTATCGGTATGATTTAGTTCACTTAGGTCTGAGGTGTGTCCAATCTTGGCTGCTTTCAAACCTGTGGATTTCAATTCCCAGAATTTCCCAGCCAGCCATGCTGGCTGGGGAATTCTGGGAGTTGAAGTCTACAAGTCTTCAAAAGCCCAAGGTTGGATACCCGTGAGCCAGACAATGAGGAGAAACTGTGCGCTAGCTTTGGTATGAAGCAAGACAAGGAAAGCTTAAAAGTAACGCCAAACCTTTTTTTATTATTATAAATTAATGTAAGGTCTTGATTAAGAATAAAGTTTAAAAAGGGTCACTGCCTTTTAAACATTTAACCATTTCTGGTTCAACATTTTGTCTCAGTTATTAAGCTGGTTGCAGCTATTATAATTGAGTTAGGATTCTGCCCTTGGTGCAGCTGACAGCAATCCGTCACGGCTTACACATTTCAAAGGCTGGCTTGACTTACGGTTTAACAAGCTCCATGAATCCCAAACCAGTAGAGGTTTACTCAACAAACCATAACCATATTCCGCAATTATTAACCCAAGCTGCAAAATACCACATAATTAGACCAATAGGAAACACCTTTCTTCTGTGGTCTGTGAGAAACAGAAAAGTTTTGGAGAACAGTTTTGGCTTTGGAAAGTTTTGGCTTCTTCCAAGGTTACTGTGTTTTCTGAGGCTGCTTAGGATGAGCCATAACCAAAGTCCAGCCTCAGTCCAAACGATGTGGTATTCGCGCATTGTGGAAGTTTTGTGGGCCTCCCAGATTCAAGGTTCAATTTCCAAAAGGGCCCCAGAAAAGGAGTGGGGTTTTGCCAGGAGCATCAGAGTAAAGCAGACGGTGCAACAGGATCTTTCTTTGTAAGAAAGGATAAAAACTCTCCTTTTGAGTATTGAACTAGGAGAAATGGCTGGCCGTCACTGGCTGGCTCCATTTCTCATTCATAGTAAACAAAGGAGAAGTCCCAGAACTCTTTTGGGTCAGGCATCTGCTCCAAACTACGCTGATTAACATACTTCACAAACTTCAGTGTCTCTCGATCTCTGTAAACTAAAGCCAAGCAATTGGCCTCTGGATTAACTGTCAGCAGCTTGAAAAGAGAATAAAACAAGGATAGTTAAGAAAACAACCTGTATTTCCTTTTAAAGATCGTACAGTGAATGCATCTGTGCACACCCGTCCAAAATATGGGTTTCAATAAAACCCGATTTCCTCTGCTAGAAACATTCAGGCTGCATGCACAGAAGAATAGGATATATATATATAAAGTTAACTATAATTTCCCATGAAATAAACACTAAGGTAGCTTCCCTGTGGGGTGGGAAACAGGATTGTCAGCGGCTACTCATTACGAGATGCTACATTCATTAGGCTCATGTTCAAATTCACGGAGGCATCCTGAGCGGCTACCGTGGGAACAAAATGTCCCTCTATTCAGCCAGCTCCAGCCCTTTTGAAACGGCACAAAAAAGGCGAATTCTTTGCTTGAGACCATTATGGAAATTGAAAGTAGGACTTGGCAGTGACACAATAGCATTAGCAATGCTCTTATGACGGATTATTCTGTTCAGTTTTGTCAACGCATCTTAAAAAAAAAGATACGGGTGTTTTTGTTGTTGTTTTTTAAAGGGAGGATATTCAAGTGATTACTGGATTGAATCAGATCCCCTGCAGGGTGAAAAACAAGCGGGGTAAACGATGGGGGAATAAAGTAGAGCAAGGGCAGAAATAATATAAATAAGAACATGCATACAGGTAACATTCTAGAGATTCTCAACTCATCCAGGTCACGGCTGTCCCAAAGGTGCTTTTTCAGGAGGCAACTGGACTGTCTTTGTTTTTTCCTTTTGAAGACGTTTCGCTTCTCCTCCAAGAAGCTTCTTCAGCTCTGACTGGGTGGTGGGGAATGGAAGGATTTATAGTCCTTGCAGACAGCTGGTCACTTGCATCCTTTTAGTCACTGAAGGATGCAAATTTCCAGCTGTCCGCAAAGAATATAAATCCTTCCATTCCCCACCACCCAGTCAGAAGCTTCTTGGATGAGAAGCTAAATGTCTTCAAAGAAAAACAAGTCAGTCCAGTTGCCTCCTAAAAAATGCACTTCGGGGACGTGCCTACAGGGAGTCCTCAACTTAAAACCATTCGTTTAGTGACTGGCATTCACGGCCAGTCCGCACCATTACAACTGTTGCAGCATTCCCACCGTTCACACGATCCGAATTTGTGCACTCGGCAGCCGGCGTGTATTTTCTTATAAAGGCTGCAAAGGGGACAGATTGGCCGCGCACAGCTCACCTAATAATACCCCGCTTGCTTTGGCAAGATAAATTCTGTTCCTGTTTGTGGTTGAAAGTTGGGGACTCTGTAGAATATTTTAGATTGGGCCACCCCGGGCTCCCATTTTGCATAGTTTCCCTGATCCCACAGGGCTCCCAAGATTCCTTGGATTACTTCACTGGCCCTTGCATTGACGATGAGGCTAAGGTCACCAGGAAACACCGCTTTTCACGCGGCATGCAGTGTTTCGTCACACGCAGGAAGAAGGGGGGGGCTGCTGGGGGTTCTTCTTAGGGGTTCGGAAGAGCCCCTAGCTAAGATTCTGTGCAGTTTGGAGGCCCCCCCCCCCCAAATCCCACTCCTGGCTGGCTCCACCCACCCCTCCGCAGAGTTCCCACGTGGCCTGTTTTGGATGCAGGTAAAGGCAGGGTCTGCACAGAGGCTCGGGGAGGGAGAAAAACGGGCCTCCTGGAAGTTCAGAAAGGCCCCATTTCTGGGTTCCAGAAAACCTCCGGAGCCCAGGGAGGGCAAAAATGCTGCCCCCCCCCCCAAGCCATGGTGCAAGAGGCCAACTAGGCCACACACACCCCCCATGGCCACACCCACCTAGCAACCAGGCAGAGAACCCATTGCTAAAAAATGTTAAGAAGGAGCCGTGAGCTACTTCCCACGGCTGGGCATCTGGAGAGGGAGGGATAGGAAGAGCTTACGTTAAGTTTCAAAACAACTCAAGTTCACCTGTGCTTTTGAAAATGGGGTGGGGGAAAGAAAACGTTTACCTCTTCATCTTCACCTTTGGCAATGTATGAAGTGAAGCCTCCCGATTCGACGTCCCAGCCTTAAAAAGGAAGGAAGGAAGGAAGGTTCGCCTTTAAATTTTAAAGCGAGCAGCCGCAAGCCCAATCCGTTGGCCCAAACACAACCGTAAGGTTTCATTCCTTTTTGTTGATTTATCTGCTGCCCATCTCGGCTAGAGGAGACCCTGGGCGGCCGAGCAACATTGGTACTAAGAAGATTTTGAAGTTTGTTTTTAGAGGAAGGCTGGCCAACTCAATCGGAAAAATAAAAATCATCGAGTGATGGCTTTGGATTGTGAAGACAAGTCTACGACATCTGCACGGCTTAATATTATGAGCAATTTCCAGGGCTGGAGATTCTCAGTCATTCAGGTCGTGGTTGTTCCCAAGGTGCTTTTTTTCCAAGAGGCACCTGGACTTTCTGGGTTTTTTTCTTTGAAGATATTTCGCTTCTCATGAGAAGGGAAACGTCTTCCAAGAAAAAAACAAAGTTTAGTTGCCCTTTGAAAAAAAAGTACCTTTCGGACAATTTCCAGGGAGATATGCATTGTTTGTTTGACCCACGCCCTTTTCCGACGAATTAAACACAATCTAAAGGGAACAGAAACCTTTTAATGCTTCTGCCGAATAATTAGCTGTGATAAGCACAAGCCTTGCCAAACTGTGCGAGACTTGCCAAAAGATAACAGACAAGAAATAATTTGCAATACAAGAATCTTCAAATACAAACTCTCGATACTGGAATGTCCACGATGCTGGGATTTCAAAACGTCTTTGCTTCCTGCAAAGAAGGTCCGATTCACAGCTGGCTTTTATCTTCTTGAAGGAGGGGCCATTACCTTGCAGCCTTACTCCCGAGTCACTTGTATTGTTGTAACTGCTCTTTCCTGCGAGCAGCCCTGCGCGCACGCTTTGCACTTGGCACAGGCTCCTCGGGAACCTCCTCATCGCTGCTGCCAGCCCCCACAATCTCTGAAGGCAGCAGTCCACTCCCTGATGGTCCTGGCCCCTCACCTGAGTCCTCGCTCTCCTCAGCCATCCGCACCTGCTGCCAGCTAACCACAACACGTATTATGTTTTCTCATTTAGGCCTAAAAGGATATTTTTCCCCCCTGCCATGGTTAACTCTGGATTATCTTCTTGCATTAGTGGATAAAACAAAGTGGCTGAAAACAAAGAGACTGCAAACCTAGCCAACGTCGGGTAACTTTGAAGATCAGTGAGACGGATAACCTGTTGCTTGGGAGCGGCTGAGTTTAATCCCTTTTGCGGTGCTTCAACAACAGCTCCCCTCACCCCACTCCCAGGCCTTCCTTCTTCGATGGAAGGTGGGGCAGGAAGAGCCCCTCCCCACGAACGGTTTCAGACAGGTTAAAGCGGAACCAACCTTCACACCCGCAGAAGAGCAGCAAATCCAGGGCAAACTCGGCTCTTTGGGCATCATGGATCAGTGTGTAGCATCCTTTTCTCCAGCGTCTCAGTTCTCCAGAGCACAGAGGGACGCCTGAGGGAGAAAAGACCAGGGATTCTGGGCTTTTGGGGTGGCCACATAACATTTTAAAGAACTGGGTGAGGGAGGGAGAAAAAGGAACCTGCCCCTGAAAGTCTCTGGAGATTTTCAGCATCCGGGTTATGACTGTCCCAAAGGCGCTTTTTTCAGGAGGCCACTGGACTTTTTTTTCTTTGAAGACATTTCGCTTCTCCTCCAAGAAGCTTCTTCAGCTCTGACTGGATGGTGGGGAACGGAAAGATTTATATTCCTTGCAGACAGCTGGTCACTTGCATCCTTTTTAGAGGGCTGTTGAGGCCACTTGGAGGTTTACTTGTGTCCTCAGATAAACGTATTTTGAAGATGTTTCACTTCTCATCCAAGATAGACTCCAAGTGGCCTCAACGTCCCTCTAAAAGGATGCAAATGACCAGCTGTCTGCAAGGAATATAAATCTTTCCGTTCCCCACCATCCAGTCAGAGCTGAAGAAGCTTCTTGGATTGAGAAGCGAAACGTCTTCAAAGAAAAACCAGAAAGTCCAATAGCCTCCTGAAAAAAGCACTTTTGGGGACAGCGTGTCCTTAGATTTCCCCAGAGTAAGTTCCAATCCTCTGAAATTTCACATCGCTGGGATGGGATGGGCAACCTCCTATCAAGCTGATACCGAAGCCAACAATTTTTCAATATGGACAGGAAGGTCACCATTAGAAGAAAAGGTCCCCCCCAGAAGAAAAGGCTATGGAGAAGTAAGAAGAGCTGGTGCCCCAAGATCTGTTGATGTTTACTTCTGAGGGAGGAAGGGATGAAAAGGCCTCTGTTTCCAACCTCAACTTGTGTGGGGAGGAAGACAGCAAAAGAAACACCGTTTGTACACAACGAAGCCAGACCCACAAACAGCCACGGTGACGGGAGGACGAGAGGGCCGCGTCTCTCTCTTTCTGAGGGTAAACAGCGTCCTGGCACAGCAAGCAGGGTAACCAAGGAGAGTGGCATTTCCCCAACATGCTGAAGCTGGGCCCAATTCCACATGCTTTCCTAGCCGCTCTCATTCAGAATCATTCTGGCCAGACTTAAATGGGTCACTTGGCTCTTTCTTTGGACTTGGGCAGATTTCAGAAAGGGCTGCTCAGACCAATTGCACACTGCGCTCACCCAGGCATGAAAACGAAAACGAGAAAAACATGCATGGAAAAAATAAATAAATGAAACTTGTTCCCTACACCCTTCCGCGCTCCCGACGAATTCCAGCAAACGTACTGTGGTAATAATTTGAAAAATCCATATTTGGTGGGGGAAAAAAAAGATGATGACTTTTATTTTAAGATTCTGTCCAAGTTTTATCGATCAGCCTACAACAGCGATGGCGAACCTTTTTGCTGTGGTGTGCCGAAAGTGCGTGCATGCCAGCACCCACAATGCAATGCACCCCACCACCCCCTGTGCATGCGTGCGCAATACCCCCGCCCCATCCCCTTACCTGCAACTGCACATGTGCACCCATCCCAGCTGATTTTCGGCCCATTTGAGGTCCTTTTTGCCCTCCCAGGAGCTCGAGGGAAGCCTCTGCAGCCTTAGGAGGCTGAAAACAGGCCCGTTTCAGCACTTCGGGTATTTCCGGAAGGCCTGTTTTTTGGCCTGCCGAGGCTGCAGAGGCTTCCCTCAAGCCTCCGTTTAGTTTAGTTTACTTTATTGTCATTGCATCTCGTACAAATGAAATCAAACACCACCTTCAGTGCACATCATGACCATGACCATGAAAATAAACACAAACACACATCCTTCACCCTTCACACATCGAACCGGAAACCCCCCAACACCACACCACCCTCTGGGAGGGCAAAATCGGTCTCAAACGGGCCGCATGTGAAGTGCAGGTAAGTTTGGCTAGGGCTTGCGTGCCCACACAAACGGTTCTGCGTGCCACCTGTGGCACGCGTGCCATAGATTCGCCATCACGGCCCTATACCCTTCTGTGCTCCTGAGGAATTCCAGCAAATGTACTGCGGTAATAATTTGAAAAATCCATATTTGGTGAAAAAAAAGAGAAGAAGACAACTTTTATTTTAAGATTCTGCCCAATTTCTACCGACCAGCCTACAACCTTCACTGAGCTGAGAATCAAGAGTTTACGTCGAATAGTAATAAACCTACCTAGTGAGTTCTCAAAATGCCCCCATCAAAGGGGAGCTGAAGAGATGTAATCGATACGGATTACTAAGCATTTTGGGCACACTGGGATTTGGGCTGTGCTGACGGACAGGCAGACCCTGAGGCTAGATCTGGAAAGCTCAACATACCATTCCCTTGGCTGTCTTCATTTCTGGAGATGCTCCCTGGCGCCTCTGTACCGTCTGCGTTGCCAGCTTCCTCTTGACTGCTGGGTCCTTGTGAGCTTTCAGGAACCTCTCCTCCTCCTTCCTCTTCCTCCTCTGGGGCTAAAAAATGCAGTTTCAGGCCCGTGAAATTGGAAAGGAGCAAGAAGAAGGCCTCAGCTTGGAAGAGCTCCAAACACTCTTTTAAAGGGGCCGGCAAGCTTTTCTCCTCTGCTTTCTCGTAATGCCTAAAAAGACGTTAAGATTCATGAATGAACGAAGACTTTCCTGCATTTTTTTCTGCCTTCAAAATACTTCGCTGAAAGCTCTGCTAACGCAGCACAGCTAATGTAGATGGTCCTGGACTTATGACCACCACTGAGCCCAAAATTTCTGTTGCTAAGCGAGACACTTAAGCAATAGTAATAGTGACAGCACTTAAGACTTATATCCCGCTTCATAGTTCTTTACAGCCCTCTCTAAGCGGTTTACAGAGTCAGCCTGTTGCCCCCAACAATCTGGGTCCTCATTTTACCCACCTTGGAGGGACGCAAGGCTGAGTCAACCTGAAGCCTGGTGAGATTTCAACTGCCAAATTGCAGTCAACAGAAGTAGCCTACAGTACTGCGCTCTAACCACTGCGCCACCGTGGCTCGCTAAGTGAGTTTTGCTCCATTTTCCACCTTTCTTGCCACTGTTGTAAAGTAAATCACCGCGGCTGTTAAATTAATTACACAGCTGTTAAGTGAATCTGGCTTCCCCACTTTGACTTTACTCGTGAGAAGGTCGCAAAAGGGGATCACCTGACCTCAGAAGACTACAACCGGCATAAATACATGCCAGTTGCCAAGCATCCGAATGTTGATTCCCCTGACCACGGAGATGCTACAATGGTGGTAAGTGTGAAACTGGTAACAAGTCACTGTTTTTCGGTGACATTGTAACTTCAAGTGGTCACTAAATGAATGGCTGTAAGGTGAGGACTACCTGTATATACAGGAAAGAGTAAAAACTGCATACTACATTTTGATTCCATTCTAGTTTCTTCTTTAAAACTTTAAAATCTAAATTGAATCAAGAGTTGCAATTGGATAAAGCCAAAGCAGAGACTGCAACTCAGAATGCCTTGCTCTGCCAAAACCTGAGTTTTGCAGGATCTAAAAGATGGGTGGGTTGCGAAAAAAGGACACCTGTATTTTTGTCTTTGGTCTCCCGAGAGGCTACCTTTCTTTTTTAAAAGCTGGGAAAAAATTAAAAAGCCTCGTCAACCACAAAAGATCTGTAAGCAACGTGGGAGGGTGAACTATTAGGAAGTTCCTTTGTTTGGAATTTCATATCCTCGTTTCCTTACTAACATATAAGACGACCTGTCGGATTAACCGAAGTTCTCAAGATGATCTAGTTTCACAGGAGAGCCTCGCATTTCATGGATATCTTGGAGCAAGAGCCAAATCCAGCTGGCACAGGTTGGTGGCTGGAAAACTGCTTGGCTGAACACAACTGCCCGACGCAGTTAGGAGTGACGCCGTCTGAAACAGCTTTACCTTTTGTTAGGAGGCCCTCTAATGCTCCAGGTGAGTCCTTCCGTCTTCAGGGCTTTGCAAACTAGCTGATACTTGTCTGTCTAGGAAGCAAGCACAATGAAAGCCCACCTGAAGCCAGGGAGTTTGGAAGCAGGGAGTTTGCAAGAGCAGCGGATGGACGATTCCAATGAAATTAATTCCTCAGTCGAATTTGAGTTGAGTTTTTCTCCCCCTTTACATCCTTTCTGGCCACCGTTGTTAAGTGAATTGTTGCAATTAGTAAGTGAATCTGGCTTCCCCATTGACTTGGCCTGTCAGAAGGTCGCAAAAGTGGATCACGTGACGCCCCCAGACATTGCAAGCATCATAAATATGAATCAGTTGCTAAGTGTTCGAATGAATGAATGAATGAATGAATGAATGCTTTATGGGCCAAGTGTGATTGAAGACACAAGGAATTTGTCTTGGTGCATTTGGTGCAAATATTCTTAGTGTACATAAAAAGAAAAGATACATTCATCAAGAGTCAAGAATCATCAGGTGCAACACTCAGGTACAATAAGCAATCAAATCAGACTAGGAAACAGTCAATATAAATCATAAGGATACAAGCGACAAAGTTACAGTCATGCAGTCACAAATGGGAGGGGATGGGTGATAAGGAGTGCTGAGAAGAGTAATAGTAATAGTAGTGCAGACTTTGTAAATAGTTGGACAGTGTTGAGGGAATTATTTGTTTAGCAGAGTGGTGGCTTTCAGGAAAAAACTGTCCTTGTGCCTAATTGTTCTGGTGTGCAGTGCTCTACACCGTCATTTTGAGGGAAGGAGTTGAAACAGTTTATGTCTGGGATGTGATGGGTCCCCATCAGTTGCTAAATGTCTGAATTTTATTCACATGACCATGTAGATGCTGCAATGGTCGTATGTGTGAAAAGCAAACCTAAGTCACTTTTTTCAGTGCCGTTGTAACTTTGAATGGTCACTCAGTCCTTGTAAGTCAAGGACTACCTGTACTCGGCACCACTCAACCTGCCACGTGGAGATGAAAGAAATGTGAGAATAGGGATCGTACCTGTTGCCTTATCATCTGGCACCCAAGAATGTGCTGACCTCACCTTGAGAAAGTCTTTCAGCAACATCTCAGATCGATCTTCAAATTCTTCCTGGATCTGCGCTTGGGAATCCATGTCCAAATAAACTGGATTGATCCAATCGTACAAGATTTCGTGCTGGAAAAATGTGCAAGAAAGGAAAACAAGGGCGAAATTTTTACATTATTACTCTGAAAATCAAGTTGTTTCAAAGTAACCATCTTTGTTCTTTGTCACTATTATTTCCAGAAATTCTGGCATGTGTTTATCGCATGTCCAATACGGTGTTTCTCAACTTGGTCAACTTTAAGATGCATGGACTTCAATTCCCAGAATTCCCCAGCTAACCCAAGCATCTCAAAGTTGACCAGGTCCAGCAAATACTGGTCCAGCATGTAAACTTATATTGCTTTGCACTCAGTAGTCAACACATTATCCATATAACCACACCCAAGTGTATATCACAGGTGAAGCACAAAATTACAAACTGCAGCTTCTATTTGGAGAAATGACTAGTCCCAACTTGGCCCCCTCAAATGTTAGACTGAAACATGAAAGCAAAGGCAGAAATGGCCTTTGCAGAGAAAACGTGAAGGTTTCCCCTTGGTAAGCCAGACCAAGAACCTGAAGTATTGTAGAACAATGCCACGATAGTGAAGGTAGCAATCAGCTTACATCACGAGGGATGTGGGGGCTTCGTGGAATCTGTGGCTCCACATGACGTGGCGGTCTTGCAATGGAGGGGCCGTGAAACCAGCCGCTCACCGACAAGCGGCATTTCTCTTTGGAAATGACTTCAGATACCTGGGACAGAGGAAAAGAACAGGTAAGCACTGGTATCTCAGGCAAAGATGCTGTCAGGAAATTTCTCCTTATTTCTAGGTTAATTCTTTCCTTGATTCGTTTCCATCCATCGCTTCACGTTCTGTCTTCAGGTGCTTTGGAAAATAGGTTGACCTCCTCTTCTTTGTGGCAGCCCCATAGATATTGGAAGACTGCTATCCCTGTCACCCCTGGTCAATCTTTTCACTAAACTAGACAAACCCAATTCCTGCAAACGTTCAACGTATATTTCAGTCTCCAGCCCCCAAATTATCTTCGTTGCTCTCCTGTGCACCCACTAAAAAGAATAGAATAGAATAACAGAATTGGAAGGGACCTTGGAGGTCTTCCAGTCCAACCCCCTGCTTAGGCAGGAAACACTACACCACTTCAGACAAGTGGTTATCCAACCTCTTCTTAAAAACTTCCAGTGTTGGAGCATCCACAACCTCTGGAGGCAAGTTGTTCCACTGATGAATTGTTCTCACTGTCAGAAGTTTCTCCTTAATTCCAGGTTGCTTCTCTCCTGGATTAGTTTCTACCCATTGCTTCTTGTCCTGCCCTCAGTGCTTTGGAGAATAGCTTGACTCCCTCTTCTTTGGGGCAGCCCCTGAGATATTGGAAGACTGCAACCATGTCCTTCTTTTCATTGTACCCAGTTCCTGTAACCATTCTTCATACGTTTTAGCCTCCAGCCCCCTAATCATCTTTGTTGCTCTTCTCTGCACTCTTTCTAGAGTCTCAACATCTTTTTTATATTGTGGTGACCTAACCTAGATGCAATATTCCAAGTGTGGCCTTACCAAGGCATTATAAAGTGGTATTAACATTTCACGTGATCTTGATTCTATCCCTCTGTTGATGCAGCCTAGAACTGTGTTGGCTTTTTTGGCAGCGGCTGCACTCGGCTGGCTCATATTTAAATGGTTGCCCACTCGTTCTAGAGTCTCAACATAGGAGAAGGAACAATTGCTTACCTGGTGGAAGGAGACTGGTGATACTTCAAAGAAAGCGAGTGAGTTCCAGGAAGGGACCAAAGACTTGACAATCTGCAAAGGCTGGAAATGATCTGCCAGAGACAAGGACACATACAAGACACATACCAGTAAGTAGTAGGCCCAACTATCTGGAATTCCCCCACCGTGTCTACTTTTCACCACTTTCTGGCTTCTGAATAAGAGAGAGGAACAGTTACCTTTGGAGTCAGGTGAAACAGAAGAATCAAATTTACAGAAGAAGGCTCAGCCTACAATTTAGGAGGATCCAAATCTTAGTCTGGCCCTAACTCCATAAGTATCACACTGTATACCCCATTGTATATGGCAGCCCATTGTGGTAGTAAGAAAGCACCAAGGGTGAGAGCTTGCAGTATGAAAAAAAAAGAAAGAAAAGAAAACCCAAAAACCCTCCGCTAATGCTTAAAAGAGAATTTCTGTGGCTATGAACACTTGAAATTGCAACCCTGGATTGTGAAGTGAAGTAGCACTGCGATGGAACCTGACTCACCAACCATTCAGAGGCCTCCCTCAGCTTTGGCACTAAAGGTAAAGGTTCCCCTTGCACATTTGTGCTAGTTGTTTCCGGCTCTGGGGGGTGGTGCTCATCTCTGTTACAAGGCCAAAGAGCCAGTGCTGTCCGAAGACCTCTCCCTGGTCATGTGGCTGGTTCCCTTCCCACCAAAGGGGTCCCTATTTTTCTACTTGCATTAAAAAAAAATGCTTTCGAACTGCCAGGTTGGCAGAAGCTGGGACAAGTAACGGGAGCTCACTCCGTTACGTGGCGCTAGGGATCCGAACCGCCGACCTTTCAGATTGACAAGCTCAGCGTCTTAGCCCCTGAAATATCAAGGATTCACTGGTGGTTTTACGAATGAAATAATTAGCTCCATTTCCAACTAGCGCTTCCTCCCTTATTCAGATAACAGAAATAAGCTTTAGCCAAAAGAGAAGTTGGAATATAGGAACAGTCAGACCACCATACACGCTGCTTGACAGCAGTCAGCACTCAAAACTTCCCAATCATGTTATATAGGGTGTCAATCCAAGAGAGATGGAGGTGGGGAGGAAAGGAAGGATGGAACCCTGAAGAACTGGCTTGAGCTCCCGAAGGACAGGTGCGATATAAAATCTACCAAAGCAGGCAAAAATAATTAAATCCTACCATCTGTGCAGAAGAGATCCAAAGTGCCCCCATCCTGCTTTTCCCAGGGGGTTACAAGATAAAGGATGAATGCGATTCTCCGGCCCTCCAGCTCATCATCATGACACAGCAGGGTATCTGGAACGAAACAGGAATTTGGTTGTGTGAGGCCCACAACGTGGCTAAAATAAAGCAGGGCGGTCAAGTTGATTATGTGCCGTTGGGGTCAGTGCTGATTCTTCACACCCAAATCTATTGCTTGCGTTCCAATCCAACAGGAGCTTTCTCACCTTTCATAGTATCATAGGGCTGGAAGAGACTTTGGGAGGACTTCCAGTCCAAGGCAGGAGTCCTTATTGCATCCCAGACCAATGGCTGTCCAGTCTCTTCTTAAAAACCTCCAGTGATGGATCACCTACAACTTCTGAAGGCAAGTCATTCCACTGATTAATTGTTCTAAACGTCAGGAAATTTCTCTTTAAGTCTAGGCAGGGTCTCTCTTTAATGAAATTCCATCCGTTATTTCTTGTCCTGCCCCACACTATAAAAAAGATGTTGAGACTCTAGAAAAAGTGCAGAGAAGAGCAACCAGGAGGATTAGGGGACTGGAGTCTGAAACATACAATGAACGGTTGCAGGAACTGGGCCTGGCTAGTCTAGTGAAGAGAAAGACCAGGGGAGACAGGAGAGCAGTCTTCCAATATTTGAGGGGCTGCCACAGAGAGGAGGAAGGGGGTCAAGCTATTTTCCAAGGCCCCTGAAGGCCAGACAAGGAATAACGGATGGAAACTGAACGACGAGAGATTCAACCTGGAAATAAGGAAGAATTTTCTGTGAGAATAACCAACCAACGGAACAAAAGTTTCCTCCAGAAGTTGTGGGAGCTTCATCATTGGAAGCTTTCAAGAAGAGACTGGACTGCCATTTGTCAAAAATGGTGTAGGGTCTGCTTAGGTGGGGGGTTGGACTAGATGACTTACAAGGTCCCTCCCAACTCTCTTTCCTCAAGTATTGGAAGACAGCTATCATGTAACTCCTAATACTTCTCTTCTTTAGACTAGTCATACCAAATCCCCTTAACTGTTCATTGTACATTTTAGCTTGCGGATCCCTTATAATCTTTGTTGCTCTTCTCTGTACTCTTTCTAGAGTCTCAGTATTTTTTTTTTAATATTGTGGTGAGCAGAACTGGATGCAGTACTCCATCTGCCCAATGCTCACGTCTGTCAAGATCCATCTTCCAAAGTGTTTGCAATTCTCCCCCCAGTTAAGTACTGTCTGCAAATCGGATGAGTTCCGCTTCTACAGTACCTGCTCATCTGGATCATTTATGAAGGTGTTGAAAAGTACTAGGCCTCAGACAGAATCTTGGGGTACCTCACTGCATGCTTCCCTCCATGTAGATGCAATTCCACTGAGGACCATACACTGAATGCAGTTGGTCAGCCAATTACAAATCGAGCTGGCGGTGATGCTGTCTATCCCACGTTGTTCTGTCTTCAAGACCAGGCTGCGGTCTACTTTATCAAATGCCTTACTGAAGTCTAAGTAAATTATGTCCCCAGCATTTCTCTGATCCACCAACTTAGTCAAAGAAGACAATAAGGTAGTTTTTGTAGCTTGGGGTTGAAGTGAGGGGTCCTTGGTGATCTCTAAGCTTGCTTGCACTCCTTACTAGCACTGATGGTGTTACCTAGTTAGGGTAATGAAACACCTGCAAGAAAACAGGCAAACTCAGAGCACCAAGGACGCCTTCACAATAAGTTTTTTCCAGCACAATGTTTTTAACAAACCCAAGCTGGCTTCTAGTAATCACCATTTATTTCCAGGTGCTCACAAATCCGCAGCTCAACAATCTTTTCTCAATTTTCTGGGTTTTTCAGGTTCATAGTTTCTTCTAGCAATACCTTCAGGGTTATTTTAATTTTTCACTTACCTGTATATTCATATTTAGCGCAAGACAGATCAATGGTTGGTTCCAGCTCTACCTGGATCACATCAGAAAGCCAAGACCGGAATTCTTCAAAAAGAATTTTTCTAACAGGTGAGAGAGAAGACAGGTGAGGTTGCGGCATCTCAGCTTGGCCTCTTGTCTAAGCAAGGAGGCATTTTGGCATTCGCTTTTACAGGACAGGTTATCTTTTATAACTAAATAGGGCCCAGTTCCTCATACATTCTCGCAGTTCAAGGTAAATAAATGTAGAGGGATGGGCTATACCTATAGATCAATAAATACACACAATTTGGTAGCTGACCTAACTGAACAATGAGTGAAATCAGGACCATCGTTCTAAACAGGAAAATGAAATGGCAACAACTAGTTCACTTTCGATGCAGAGCTAAATCTGCATTTGTTAAAACCTTGTATTGCTGAAGAAACTATAATAGCTTATTTTGCAAAAAAACAAACAAACCTAAATCTGTAGATTGCCATGAATCAAATTAGGAACTAATATAATTTTGCTGATCCTAGTTGATGACCAAATCAAAACAAGGCTAACTTACCTTAATGCCGCTACGTGAGGCCCTCCTCTCTTCTTTAGGTCATCTGACTTTGCAAACCAGAAAGACACGTTAGATTATTCAGAGATGGAAGCTTTTGCAACAGAAAACTATACAGCTACAATCGCAACTCTGTCATTAAGGAAAGTGAATCCTAACTGGATCATGTGAACAAAAGTGTGCTCTCCTTTTCAGCTATCCTTTGGAGTGCTCAACGCCCGCACTGTGCTAATTAGCAAGAAGAAAATTCATGTTTGTATTTATACCCTTTGAAAAGGAAAGTTCACAGGATACTAAGCAGGCCACAATGGGTAATGCACATCAGAAACAATACAGTGGTGCTGGCAGTCCCTATATGTTACATAAACAGCCAGGGCATTTCCCATTGCATGCCTGCTTACTCTCTTGTACAGTATAATCCCTTTCTCTCCAAACTCTCCACTCTGCATGATGGGAAGGGGGAAAAAAAAACAGGTCAAGCAAAGGAAACGAGTACTGTCTGTAATGGTGATCGCATGACTAACGGAGATGATGTAACAGGCATCGATTGTAAAGTTATTTTTTCAGCACTGTCATAACTTCAGGAAGTTATAAACTGAACAAGGCACCCAATAAGCAAGCATTTGGTATACCAGTGCCCCTCAGAAGAACGTGGGTTAGTTTGGAGCGCTCACCTGTTTGAACTTGTATAGATCATTACACTTTTCATGGAAATCTAGGCTCAGGAGTTCCCTCCGCAGCTCCTCCAGGAAGTCCTCGTTGCGGATGAAATCTGGGATAACACAGTGGGGGAAAGGAGCAGGATCTAGAGAGATGGCCTCTGGAGGAAACACAACCCATGCGGCAGGTTTTAGAGATAGAGAGCATGACAGAGGTCATGGCAAATAACACCCTATATCAGTGGTGGCTAAACTTTTGGGGGTCCTGTGCCAAAAATTGTGCATGTGCTTGCAAACGCTCGCTCACATGCCAGCACCCAGAAGGCAATGTGTGTGGGGGCCCACACGCTCCCTGAGCATGTGCGAACAATTCCCACCCCCCCGCTGCCACTACCCCCTTACCTGCACTGTACCTCCCAGCTGATTTTTGGCCGGTTTGAGGCCTTTTTTGACTCCCCAGAAGCTCAAGGGAAGCCTTTGGAGGCTGAAAAATGGGCCCGTTTTGTCACTTCTGGTATTTCCGGAAATACAGGAAGTGATGAAACGGGTCTGGTTTTCGGCCTCCAAAGGCTGCAGGGGCTTCCTTCGAGCCTTTGAGAGGCCAAAAAAGGCCTCACACTGGCCGAAAATCAGCTGGGAGGCGTGCACATTCGCAGTGAGTTAAGTTTGCCTGAGGCTCGCGTGCCCACACAAATGGCTCTATGTGCCACCTGTGGCATGCGTGCCATAGGTTCACCATCACGGCCCTATAGTAAATAAGACTCTGTCTTAGGCTTTTAGTCTTAACTTTCATTATTAAATATATATTTAAAATATAATCAAATTATAGATTGAATTACATCTATCTCTATCTCTTTATATGCATATAATTTAATCATAAATTTAAATATGAATTTTAATATCTAATTCTGGTTGAATCTTAGGCTGGTTACCTCAACCCTCCCAAGCTGGGGGCACCTTTCAGCACTGATAACGGCCAAGATAACAAAAACTAGAAACGCAGGAATATTAGGCACACTGGTTATTATATCAAGGTATATCAATATCCATATATCTATATTTTAAGTTCTAAAGAGGAATCACTGAGTCCATCACCTGCACCTCTATAACAGTCTGGTTTGGCTCTGCTACACAACAAGATAAACACAGACTTCAGAGAGTAATTAGCACTGCAGAAAAAACAATTACTACCAACCTGCCTTCAGTCGGGGACCTGTATACTGCAGGAGTCAAAAAAAGGGCTGTGAAAGTATTTACAGACCCCTCACATCCCTGACATATAACTGTTTCAACTCCTTCCCTCAAAAGGGAAGGTGGACCTTTCTGCACACCAGAACAACTAGACACAAGGACAGTTCCCCTCCCCCCCATGCCATCATTCTGCTAAACAACTAACTCCCATAACACTGTCAAAATATTTACTAAGACTGCATCACTATTTTTCTTCTCATCTTCCTAGTCTCCTTTTCTACCTATGACTATAATCTTGTTGCTTGAATCTTTATGGTTTATATTGTTTTGTTTAGTTTCCTGGTATGATTTTGATTGCTTATTTAATAACCTATGACTACCACTGTGTTGTATCTTATGATTCATGGCGAATGTATTTTTTTTCTTTTAGGTTCACCGAGAGCATATACCCAAAGACAAATTCCTTATGTGTCCAATCACACTTGGCCAATTAAGAATTATAATTCTATTCTACCCTCCCAAGCTGGGCTCTTTCAGCACTGATAATGGCCAAGATAACAAAAACTAGAAAGGCAGGAATATTAGGCAACCCTGAGGTATATCCATCAATATCCATATATCTATGGATAGGTATATCAATATCCATATATCTATATTTTAAAATATATATCTATATTTTGACTGTATAACATCATTTTATATGCCTCTCTCTCTGCGTATGTTATCTTATGGTTTATACAGCTATGTGTGTGTATGTAAATATATATCTCACACCTATAAAAATAATGGCCAGGATGAAAATCTAGTAATAAGATCAATTGCATTTTGCAAAGCATCTGGAAAATATTGGTGGGTTAAAGCTCAGTTGCACCCCCTGCCGGTCAGTGCCAGGCACAACCGCAACTATACCTCAATGAGGACTAGCCCCTTGGAACCCGCAGCGCTTCCTGCCTCCTACCATGCTCGAGCGGCTCCTGGCTGGCCCAAGCCGCGGCCACTTTCTCCTTCAAGGCCGGCTCCTTGACGGCGGCAGAGAACTCTGCACAGATCTCCCGCTTCACGCGCTTCTTGGCGGCTTTCCCCGGCAGCGGCGGAGACAGAGACCCGGCCAGAAGCGGCCGCCGCTTCGGCTTCCCGTTCATGCTTCTCCCCCGCACGTGTTCCAGCGGAGAAAACTACGACTCCCGACAGGCCCCGCAGGAGGACGTCACGTCAAGAGGCGGGTCTCCAAAGGTTCATTTGTCCAATCATCGTGCCGGAAGCGGGAAAAGCTTCGGAGCAGCCTCGAGACTTCCTGTGAAACGGGAAGTTGTTCCGCCTATCGCCCTCCATATAAATAAACATTACCACTGCAGTCGAATTAGCAGGAAATTTCCTTTTCTCTTTTCTATAAAGAGCTAGTCTAGGCTCATAATAGTCTACGGTCGTATTAGTGCCATTTAAGAACCGCTGGGGGTGTGTGTGAGCATTCCCAGGCGGCTTCTGACACCCAATAGGCCCAAGCTCCGCTCCTATTGGCCAAAAACCCTCCCTTCCATTTAACGATATAGGGAAGCTCTTTTGACCCCGCCTCTCTATGGCAGTCAGCAGTCCCTAACGGACGAGGCGGCTCATTCCCTTCACCCTCCGCGTACTCTATGGCTCCCGGAAGTGTGGCCTGCAGGTTCCGGTGCGCCCTTTGGCGGGTGTGAGAGGAGCGCGGCGTGAGGGGACGGCGCCTTGGCCGGGGAATGCTGGTGGCCTTGTGAGCCGGGCCGCTTCCGCCATGTCCGTCGTGCCGCCCAACCGCTCCCAGACCGGCTGGCCCCGCGGGGTCAACCAGTTCGGGAATAAATACATCCAGCAAAGCAAGCCCCTCACCCTCGAGCGGACCATCAACCTGTGAGTGGGCGCCGGGCTCGGCCTCGCTTCGTTCTCCGGGGTGTAGGGGGGGGGCGGTTGAGCCCTTTGGGTCAAATTTTAAAGGCCCGGCGTATCGTGTGAAAGCAGAACACAGGTCGAGTCGGGGGTTCTAACGGTTCCTCGACTCCCTCGGGACTAAAGGCTGCCCCCCGCCCCTTGTTTTTCCCCCTCGCTCTGCTCGAAGGCGAATTTATTCCTCTGTGGCGACCCAGAGACCCCATCTAGGGGACTCCTTTGAAGCCCACCTCGTGGTCCTTTCAGGGAGCCGCGTCCAGGTCCTTTTTCTTGACCCACCCAAACCATTCAAGTTAAATGAGAAAAGACCCTTTTTCGGTCATCTTAATAAAAGACAGCAACATTTATTTGGCAGGGTAAAAAACCCAGAATAAAAATGAAACTACTACAAGATATGAAGAGAGCAGAGGAGGCTTTGGATGGCCAAACTGGGAATTAGAGTGAAAGGTGCTTTTTTCCACTGGACTTTCTAGTTTTTTCCTTTTGAAGATGCTTTTCATCCAAGAAACTTCTTCAGCTCTGGCTGGATGGTGGGAAATGGAAGGATTTATACTCCTTGCAGGCAGCTGGTCATTTGCATCCTTTTAGAGAGTCCTTGAGGCCACTTGGAGGTTTGTCTGTGTCCTCAGATAAATGTCTTTTGAAGACGTTTCACTTCTTATCCAAGAAGCTTCTTCACCTCTGACTGGATGGTGAAGAATGGAAGGATTTATACTCCTTGCAGGCAGCTGGTCACTTGCATCCTTTTAAACGGTTGTTTAGAGGGTCATTGAGGCTACTTGGAGGTTTATGTGTGTCCTCAGGGTCACCTGGGTAGTGCAAATGGTTCCTGTTGTCTGCAATTTTTTTCCTCTGGAAATACATTTCCATGCCATTCAAAGGGTGTTCATCCCAAATTGTACAGCTAAAAATCTGTAGAGATTCTCAGTCATCAGCCAGGTTCTGGTTGCCCCAAAGGTGCTTTTTTAACAGGCAACTGGACTTTCTTTGCTTTTTTCTTTTGAAGATGTTTCACTTCTCATCCAAGAAGCTTCTTCAGCTCTGACTCAGGTAACCCCGAGGACACAGATAAACTTCCAAGTGGCCTCAATGTCCCTCTAAAAGGATGCAAATGACCAGCTGTCTGCAAGGATTATAAATCCTTCCATTCCTCTCCATCCAGACAGAGCTGAAGAAGCTCCTTGGATGAGAAGCGAAACATGTTCAAAAAGCCAAGAAAGTCCAGTTGCTCTCCTGTCCAGTTTGCCACCCAGTTCATATGTTGGACACTTTTTAAAGAAAACATGTACCTAATCCATGTGTGTAATTTTTTGTGCATAGACTCCTGACCCAAACCTATTGGCATCCCTGATTGTTTTACAGCACATGATTTATGATAAGTATGTATGCAGCATCATGTATTTGGTTTGCATTTATAATTTGTGCTATATAGTTTGATAGTAACTTGTAAATAGGAGTATGAATTATTATGGTTAAGCTTAAGAAGATGTAAAAATTTTCTTAAGTACTGAGAGTAATATCTGCCCAATAATTTTGCAGCAAAGCAGAAGATTAAATATAGTAAAAACACAATCTTTGATTTGGAAGGTTTGTTTTTTATTAAGTGCTGGAATGGTACAGCTATTATATAAATCAGGGTTTCTCAATCTTAGCAACTTTAAGATGTATGAATTTCAATTCCTGTTGGCTGGGGTATTCTGGGAGTTGAAGTGCATGTAACTTAAAAATTAAGTTTGAGAAACACTAATATAGATCTTTTGGTGAACAGGTTTTAGAAACTAGTCATGAAACTGATTTTCCTAAATCAGCTGACCCTTATCATTAATAACTCCCAGCTTTTAAGAAATATTTTTTTAAAAAACCTGGAGCTTAAAACTGAAAGTAAATTTCCTTCTTCAACTTGACACTTCCGAATGTGTCCAGCATAGCTCAATGTATCTTTAAGTGGATGTCAGCTGTAAGGCTTGAATATTTTATTTCACGATTTTCTCCATCCTCCAGATTAGGGAAAATGTAGTGAAGATGCATTTTGAGATTGGCATAGAGAGGATAGTGAATTTATGGCTATCATCAGAAATATCCTGTCTCAAACTGTCAGTTGAATTACATCAATCTCTTAAGTACCATCAGTCTTTGGGTGTTTTAGAAAAACACTTTCTCTACTCTCCAGAGCTCATGAGAAGTAAACCTTACGGTGCAGTGATAGAAGAGACTCATGATAGCTGACAGAAGCATACAGACTTTGGTGCAGCTAGAAGGTTACAGCTTTCTTCCTTAGCTGCATAGAAAAGCCATTGTTGCTATGTTACAATTGCAGATCAATTTGTGAAAAAAGTTACAACTCCCAACGCTACAGCCTCCATCCTGTGTCTTCATTAAGCTCTGTAATGCCACTTTCTCTTAGTATTTGCTTAGTTATTTCTTTATAACTAAAGCAGCATAAAGATAAAATTAAATCATATTCCTAACTTGGAGCCAGTTAGAAAGGCTAGAAGAATAACTTGATTTGTTTACTTGCAGTTAGGAGTGGAGCTAAAATAGATTTTGGTTTCCATTCACAACTGAAACTGAGAATTCTTTCTGCATTACAAGCAGCGAGAAGAAATGTTACACTTTTGAAGAGTGCCTGATTCTCTTGTGACAAGGAAGGTGGGGGTAATCAAGCCTTCTCTTTGCTATTTTATTCTTCATATTATCTGTCTAATAATACATTATACAGAGAACTGAAGAAGCTTCATGGATGAGAAGCGAAATGTCTTCAAGGAAAAATGAAGAAAATCCAGTTACCTCTTGAAAAAGCACTTTTGGGACGACTATGGCGTGGATGACTGAAAATATCCATAGACAAATACATTATACAGGAGAGTCAGAGGCTGCTGAAATAATCTTGCTTTGGTTGTGAAAACCCAGTTTTTCTCCAAGTAATTTGATTTCAGTATAATTCATAATATAGTTCATCTTAGATTTAACCATAGTCATGAAGGTAGATGAATATTTTTGTAATATCTTGTTTTGGAAGGGGAAGTATAAATCCAGGAGTATCTCCTTTTTTTGGAAACCATTTGTAAATATACAGTACTAATGAGTTACAATTGTATTACCCTCTAGCGAGCTGTGATAAAATCCTGAAATAGTTTACATGAAATTGTGTGCTTTAAAATGTCCTTTCTTCCTCCTAGGTACCCGCTGACAAATTATACCTTTGGGACCAAGGAACCCCTCTACGAGAAGGACAGTTCAGTAGCCGCCCGATTCCAGCGCATGAGGGAAGAATTTGACAAGATTGGGATGAGGCGGACCGTCGAAGGCGTACTCATTGTTCACGAACATAGATTGCCTCACGTGCTGCTCTTGCAGTTGGGCACAACCTTCTTCAAACTGTAAGTCAACGTTCCTTTTGGGGTTTTCTTAAGCCAGAGGTCTCCAAACTTGGCCACTTTAAGACTTGTGGACTTCAACTCCCAGAACTCCTCAGCCAGTAATTCTCCTGCTTAAAGTGTGTTAGCACCTCTGCTTTATGGCTTAATGTGTGATTTCTTCTTGATTTAAGGTTACATATTAGTTTTATACTTTTGCCTCTGTAAAATAAAGTGACAATATTTAAAACACATCTTTTATGTTTTCAGGCCGGGTGGTGAACTTAACCCTGGAGAAGATGAGGTAGAAGGTCTTAAACGTTTAATGACAGAGGTAAGTGCTGCATTTATTCAAATGATTATTCTGAGAAATGGTCCTTTGGAGAAGGGGCAGCCTGTGCAAGACATTTTGTATCCCTCCCCCCCAAATATATATATAGGAAAAAACGAATATATGTTTTGCCTTAGAAATTTGAATAAACTCTTTAAAACAAGACATTCCTTTGCCTCAGGTCTTCACTTTCTCAGAATGACTTAAAAAACGGCAACTTGAAAATGTTTATATAAAATGTTTAATATTGGTTCATTACCTTTCCTGTACTTGGAAGACAAACCACACACCACAATTCTGAAATACGAGACTAGGAAGAATCTATTTCCAGTGGGCAGAATTGTAATTAGAAGAGATTCAAAAGAGCAGGAACTATTTTATACATGGCTCCCTCCAAATATTTAGGACCTTATTGCCTGGTTTGTCATTGGTAATACTGGTTTTTAAAAATGGCTGTTAAATCTATTTCTGTTCATCCATGCTGGATATTGTGAGGAGTAAATACATAATCATTGGCTTTATTTTAGTGTTGAGACAGTCTTCTGCTTTTCATTTTA